AGGCTAATATGACCTGCACCACACAATGATTAGAGATCCCAGGTTTATGCATTTGCATAATTTTGATTTTTAATGCAAATTATTAGTTGACATATTCAGATTGATTGATAGATTTTTTAAAAGGCTGATGGATTGTAGATCAAAATTTTAGAAATTATTATTATAAGATATTGTCCTTATTTGCAACATGAGCAATGGTAATAATTATAGTGACAATGATTGCCTTGCGAGAACAAATGTAAGATAATCTTGGACAAAATAATGATTGAAACAAAAGATGATTTAGAACTTCTGACCAATCCTAATATTATTAAAAATGAAGTCAACAAACATTCTCAAAAAATTTGGTGGGGTTCCACCAAATCAAGAAATACAATAGATGAAAGTTGGAAAAAAAAGTATGAACCTTTAAATTTTATCAATGACAAATGGTATAAATACATAATGTAACCACCTACATTTGAAGAATGGTTCAAACTTGTTGAGAGCTTACCTAACAATAAAGCTCCTGGTCCATCAAATGAAATGATTAAATATGCAGGACAGAAATTAATAGAGCAGAATGGAGATTAGTTTGTGCATGACTTAAATGTGGCAATACATATGTAAACTCAATAAGTTGGCCTTGTCAGGGTGGACCCCAGCGATTGACTTATCAAGAGAACTGAGTTATCAAATTTCACATGATTTTTTAAATTTAAAATTTTTTAAAATATTTATTTATCTTTTATCTCAAACATTAAAGGTTGTGAAATCAACCCTTTTATATATATCTCTGAACATAATAAAATTTAATAGGAATACAAATGTATTTCTTCACATAAAGTATGTTTCAAAAAGAATGGCACTCACAAAAAACTGTATACTGCAAGATAAACAAATAAAATTATGCTCATTTAAAAGCCTATTGAATACTTTATTAAATTAAAAAAAATTAATAAGAAATTCTATCCCCATTTTTTTCTAAGACCAATTCGCATCTCCATTTTATAGACATAATAATATTTTTGACTGTTTCCTGAGGAATTTCTTCAACCATAAATCGCTTCAATTTGTTGACATTCTTTTTTCAACATTATTTTTCATGATATACCACATGTTCTCAATGGGTTAAGGTTGGGACTGCTGAATTGTCAGTCCATTGCATGAATTCTCTTTTCATCAATAAAAGTTTTTGCAACACACATGTGCTTTGGATTGTTATCCTGTTGTAAAAGCCAGTTTCTATCATACAATCTCTGTGCAGCAGGCAAAAGCTGAGTCTCCAATATGTTAACATAATAAGGTCCTCCATAATATTGATAAAGCAGAGTAATGATGTTTTGCCTTTTAATGAAATGTCACCCCAGGCCATTACTTTTTGATGATCTTTTGGCAATCTCCAAATTGGTCTTTGCCCATTTTTATGCCATCTACGAATTTTATTATGAAACAAGTCAAAGGCTGTTTCATCAGTAAAAATTGTATGGCTCCAATCATCATTCATATGAGATCGTGCCCATTCCATTCTTGTTTCAACATGGTGAGCTGTTAACATTGGTGTTCCAATGTACACGGAACTCTTATAATCTTTTTTTTTAATATGTCTCCATACAGTAGGATGTGAAATTGATGCACTATATATGCATTTCTCGAAGTTTTATTGCAAGTTATCATGTTGAAACAGCACTATTGTGGTGAATAATTTGCCCAATAGAATGTGCAAAAGTTCGTGTAACCTTGTATGGACAACCACTGCCACCTTTATATTTGATAGTGCCTGTCTCTTTTGATCTTTTTAAGTTTCTTTGGATGGTATTTTTGATATTTCATGTATTTTTTTTTTTGATGAATGGATACCATTCATCCAAAAATGTAAAATTGCTTTACATTGTGCTTCTAATTTTGCAATAACCATCTTTTACAAAGTTTGCATGTCAAAAAAATAAAGAGAGACAATGTGGTAAATACACACAAGGATTGGTTATCACATAAACAAGTTATCCAATCATTTTGATCATGTGAAAAAAAATTTTCTATTTCAAAATGAATTTGCATTATGCATGCCATTCTTTTTGGAACACGCTGTAATATAATCAATGATATAAGTGATGATAGATGTATTGTTTGCAATTAGACAAGAATGTTCTCTAAATTATTGAAATGATGAGATAGTAGAATATTGATGCATTATTCATGATAAATATTAATGTTGACCTTAGTAACTTATCAATGACATATTGTCACAATACAAAGGCTTGGATGTTATCTACTGTTTTTCAAGATTGGCTCCAAGGATTCAACAGAGAGATTGCTTCAAAATATGGCGACCAGCATGTATTATTGCTTCCTGATAATTGTCCAAGTCACAAAATAGATGGTTTGGTTCTTTCAAATGTTGATGTCCATTTTCTCTCCCCAAACACTACTTCAAAAATCCAGCCAATGGATGCTGGTATCATTATGTCTTTTAAAAGACACTATCGCCATTTACATATTAACTGGATTCTAAATCAAGTTGAAGCAGGAAATGATATAAAAAATTTAAAAATGGATGTATTACAGGCAATAAAATTTATTATTAAAAGTTGTAAGGAAGTGTCATCACAAACCATTTATAATTGCTGGCATCATACTAAAATTCTTCCAGACCGAATTAATGTTAATTTGTCCAATTTCTCTGATGATATTAATGATCCAACAACAAACCAACTTTCTCAAGCAGTTGCTGCTCTCAATCTAAATGATGCAATACCTATTCAAGAATATTTGAATAATCCAGAAGAAAATTCTGTATATGAAGTCCCTGATGATAATAATATTATTGAGGCTCTTGTGGAAATGTATAAATAGCAACCAGAAATAGATACCAATGATTTCGAAGAAGATGAAGAAGATGATAGTGTTGAGCAAGTATTGATAAGTACTAGTGAAGCTTCAAAAAGCTTGGAAATTGTCCGTACATTTTTATTACAACAAGAAAATTCTAGTCAACAAATGAAACTGGTTAATTCTCTTGATAGATATATTAGTTTAAAAACAATAAATGCAATGAGACAAAGTACTTTAGAATCTTATCTTAATCAATAATTATATGAATTTTTTTTTGGTGATAATAACATAACTTTATAATTGATTAATTATAATAAATACGTTAATAAATTTTAATAAATTTTTTTATTCTTATTGGTATCACGTGCAACCAATGAAATGCTCTGTTTCTCTAAGTGCACACCCCCTCTAAGTGCATGCTATCACTCATTCCCGAGGGGGGTGCACTTAGAGGGGGTTGACTGTATAATATATTTCATGATACTATTTATTAATTTTATTAATTTTAATAACAAGATTCCTGACGAATAAGAATGAATAACAGGTTGATAACTCAAACATTTCATCAGTATTATGAAAAAAGTTATTGTGTTTTTATGGTAATTTTATGATTATAATTTGAAGCTATTGATTATTTTTTGATAGATTTGTAAAGCAGTTAAAAATAAACGTAATACATAAAATTTTGGAGGTTATATGACCATTTAATAAAGCCTTTGCCACGTTTTCTTCATAAAAAAGCATTATTTTTAATTTATTTTATTTATCAATTTTTTTCAAAGAAAAGATCTGCATAAAATTAGCCAATCATTTTTGTTTTGTTTTTTTTCTAAAAGATTCTAGATTGTCTATCCTTACAGCATTTGGAAATTCCATATTTGGTAATAATCCTGACTGCAATAATATTAATATCGATTTACAAAAATTTTTCTGTTGTGTAACCAATAAAAATAAATATTACATTGAAAAAAAACAAAAACAGTAGATACGAGAATAAGGTTGCGGGAGAAACTCCTCCAGAAATCAATCGACAGAGTTTCGACAGGTTACACATTAATTGTTTATTAGAGTTTCGGCAGAGTTTCGCATTTGGGGTTTTCGCCAATCATCAGAGTTTCGACAGGTTACACATTAATTGTTCATTAGAGTTTCGACAGAGTTTCGACAGTCATTAAGAGGTTTCGCCCACAACCTTATACGAGAATAAAACTATTTGTAATAAATAATATATAGAAGAAATGAACGTATGTTGTCATTTTCATTAGATTTTGCCTATATACTCTTGAAGATTACTGAATAAAACCAATTCTACTTGTTATCTTGAACATTTTACTGGAATATTTCTTTCAAAAGGTGAATAATAAATAACTTTTTTTATAAATTAACTTGTTTAACTTGTTTTTTTTTTTCTATACAGTTTTTCTAGGTCGGTTCAAGTATAATTTTTTCCTCATAAAACATACTGCTAATTCTTGTTAAGCAATGAAAAAGTGACAGATACCAGTAACGGCGAGTCACAGATCATGGGTTTATTTCTCACACATACATGCCAGATCACTGTACATGGTGTGAACGATTTTTGTGTGAGGAAGGCAGGTTTTATTTCTCACACAGACATGCCAGATCACTGTACATGGGGTGAACAATTTTTGTGTGAGGGATACCCATACCCATTTTAACAATTGCTTGATTAATTTCGCAATAAAATATTCATCATTGTTTCTTTTTCTGTCAAGATTTTTTATCATATCAAGTATACTATATAGGAAAAAGATACAAAGATTCATATCTAGAAAGAAATATTAATTGGATGATCAGAAGTAATGATCCGACACCACTTGAAATTTTTCATTTTATTTTTCCAAAACAACGTAATATGGCACTTGTAAAATATCATGAAACACTTTATGAATCTCTAAACTGTGCTGAAGATCAAGCAGTAAAGGAAAAACTTGATAAAATAAAAAAAAATCTCAGTGTATGTAATTGAATATGTTTTTCTCAAAGCACATTGGTATCATATTTTAAAGCAAGTTTTCTAACATCTCTGCTCTCTATTACTAGGAAGAAACAATTCAGAAAGATTGGATAACATGGACTGAAGAGAGAAAAGCTGTATGTATTGCATGCTCAGTTATCACAGACTTTCAAATTTATTGCTAATAATGATATTCATAATTTAGGTTGAGATCTGTCATTCAATAATTCAAACAAATGCGAATATTCAAGGAAAATTCAATTCATTAGTACAAAAGGAGGTAAAAAAGAAGTCATGTACTATTCACAACATGGTTTGGTTTGCTTGCACTTATAGTGTTTGCTAAATGAACATGTCAAATTTTTTATTATAGGATATTTAAACACTTGATTATGGTAAACCATTTCAGTGGGAGGTTCAATTTGAATCTCTATTTAATGAATAACATTTTTACATGAAATAGCAATTCGTTCTGCAAAGCATCCCAAACTACTACCAAAAACTCGATCTCCTGCCTTAAATTGTTTTTTGCATTTTGGATGTGTGTTAATAACAATTCCCGAAAACTAATAATAATAATAATAATATGATGATGATGATGATGTTAATCATTAGAAAAGTAATAATAATAATGGTCATTTGATTAATTGATAAACTAATTGTTTATTGATAATTACTTCACCTCCAGGAATAAATGGAAAAGATGGTTTAGCTTGATGTTTTCCTTGAACCTAAAAAGAAAAAAAGGTAAAGCAATTTTTTAATTTTTATTTTTTAAAATTTTTCTAAAAATTAAAATATTTACTTGTAAAATATCAAAGAATTTAAAGCAATAGCCTTTATTTCAATTAAAACTTTCTACTTACTAATTCTTACAATTCTAGAATTTGAGAAAAGAATTTCTGATGATGAGGGAGAAGAATCTCATGATGAGGAGGATGTGGAGGTATAGAGTTTTGGTTCAACTTCCAACTGTATATTGGTACTTTAAGTTAAAATTTAATGGTAATGTTTCTGTTTCTAAAGGCAAATTCAATTAAAAAAATTAAATCAATAGTAGCAGCAACAACACCCTCATCATCTCAAATAGAAACAAGAACAAGAATAACTGTTTTAGAAGAAGATACTGCTGAAAATGGTGTTGATAGAATTGATCAGGTATAATTTTTGAATAATTTGCAAGATGCATATTGTATTTTAAGCCAGATTTTAATTTTGATCATTTTCTTTATGTAGGTTTGTCAAAACTCCAAAAGAATAAAATTAGTAAGTTGGATTTGTCAAATAACTTCTCATTTCTGATTCTAATCAATCTCCCTCTTTTAATGTAAACAGAATAATGAAGAGATATGTACCTCTGACATCAATTATTCAGCAGATGAGTCAGATGGATGCTAAGCACTGGAACTAATGTTTCAGAAAAATTAAGAACTTACTCCAGAAAAATTCCAGCTAAAGAAGCATTTCTTCAGTAAGTATATATCATGCTAAACAAATTTTAAGCTTGTTACTAATTGCCTGTTATATATCTTATCTTAGACCAGCATATTTTAGGATCATAGATTTAAGTGGAGAAGACATTGGGTTCAAAAAAATATTCACTGAAATTGAATGGTCTGAAATAATACAAGATTTAAAAACAATGTGTCACTTACTGATTTACAAGAGGAGGAAAGCAAAACTCTCTTTGATTTAATGGATTCAATAAAAAAGGACTGGTTTGAATAGATTATTGTTATTTTGATTAATTGTCTCAAGTTACATATCAATAAAAAATTATTTTTCCTAAATAGGTGATTGCACAATCTCCAAAAGACCTCATCACTGAAATTGAAAAAAATTGTATCATTGAAGTAAATGACAGTTCATTGGTTATTGAATTTCTCAGAAAAGTTGATTGTTTTTTTAGATGCTTGATTCAAAACTAGTGGGTTATTTATTTATTTTTTTAATAATATTTCCATGCATATTTTATTTTTTTGCTAAGGTAATATGTTTTATAAAGTGCTTTCAACCTTGAACGACTTCCAAATTCAGTGAGTGAAGGATATTTCTCTAGTTCATTCACAAATATGTTGACCAAAGGTATCTTGACTTATGCGCATGGTTTATCATATGATGAGTATGTTTCTTAATTTCTAACCTTTGTTATGTGTTATATTTTTGAGTCATTCATCAACTAAATTTTTTGTTATTTTTAGAGGTGAGACACAAAGCTTAGCATCAACATTAGTAAAAAATTTGGATCAGGACCCCACTAGCAGAAGCATCATAGGTCAAGAATGTGACTGTTGTGTTCATAAGGGTGGTTTTGAATATGTAACTGGACTGAGGTCTGGAGGGCTACCTGAGGCAGCCAAATCAAAAAAATGGGGGGATAAGGTTGACCTTGCTGTTACAATGAGAGATGTTTTACTAAAAGAAGGACTTGAAAACAATGGAGTTGATGCAGAGAACTTTAGGAAAATTTTTACTCTGGGAATGCATAGTTATGGTAAGATATAAAAAGATGCAGAGAAGCTGTTTCTAAGGTAGAAAACTAACTTTTTTTGAATATGCTAGGATACAAATACAATGTTTATGGAATTGACTGGAAAGCCAAGAACCTTTGGCAGTTTGGACTACTTCAAGAAACAAATTTACCACAAATTATCAACCAATTTCCAATGATTGAAAAGACCATCACTTTGTTGTTGAGGGTTGAGGTTGGTTTAAATTATACATGATATGGTATAAGGATACCGGCTGCAACTTTTGATGATGGTTGCTACCATCTTTGCATCATATAAAAATGATTGCAACCACTGGTTGCAACCACCTTTACAACCATTTTGTTTCCTTTTTTGGATTGCGACATGGAACACTAATATGATAATTAGCTAATTACCATAAATACGTAATTCATAATTAATGTAATTAATTACCACTTTCACTCTTTAAAAACGTAATTACGTAATTAATTATGGGTGACAAAACTAATTATGGGTGGCAAAATTAATTATGGGTGACAAATTAATTACTATTGTGAAAATTTTCTATGCAAACTGTTGTTGACACTATACATGGGATGGTAATTGCATAATTACCATAAGTATGTAATTATCATAGTTAATTACCATTTTCCTCTTTAAAAACATAATTACGAAATTAATTACTGTATTGCAGGTGATGAAATTAATTATGGGTGATGAAATTAATTATGAATAACAATGAATTAATTATTGGAAATATCATAATACAAGCCACTCCTGTTATAACAACACTCTCTGTATAACAAAAAATGTCAGTATGACAAGAATGTCATTATAACAGGAGTTCATATAGAAGTCATATGAGAATTATTATCATGTGATTTTGTATTTTTATTTTTATTATATATTTTATTTTTATTTCATTCATGTTTTATCAGGAAATTTAAAATTACGCCGGGTCAAAATTGACCAGCATTATACAGAAGTGTTATCAGAATTTTCCATGGTGCTGGTCAATCTTGATCCTGGTGTAAGTTTTATTACTAGGGATGGGAACGGTTCAACCCAAACCGGATCAACCGGCAGTTCAAAACCAAACCAATGCGGTTTGGTTTACACATTTCAAACCGCGGTTAAACCCAGTTCAAACCCTGGTTCAGTGGTTCTGACCAATAAAAATTAACTACATTTATTTTTAATTTTTTTAGAATATGTATATTCCTTAAAAAATATTTTTTTTGCAAGAATGTCAATTGACGAGCATGATAGAAATTCGTTTTATATCACAATTCGACAATCATTTGTGATAAACGTGATAAATTTTATTTATGTTGTATGACATAAGTTTCACAATTAATTACAATACCAATGCACATGATAAAACTTTATATAGTAGTCGTGGGACATTGCAAATCAAGTGTCATTCAATATAAACGTTACACAAAAAATTTATTGTCATCCACTTCAAAAAAAAAAAATCTCCGTTTTTCATGTAACAAGCGACTTTCAACCATAATAAATTTTTTAGAGCCAGACTGGGGCTT